CCAACACAAAAGCCCACTATCAGGCCCATTCAAGCAGCTCAAGTACATGGCAAATTCGATAAGATGCAGACTAATTTAGACAGACTCATGCAGAAAAGTACTTACATGTTCAAAACGAATTCAAACAGGTCCACAGAGAGAAGTTCTTCCTTACCACTGTGTCACTTCAATAGTTACCACTTGCATAGAAGTAACCCTTTAATTTGTTGTTTGCAAACCTCTTCCTTTTGGTACCAGCCAAAACATCTAAAGTTGCAGCAGCAGCTCTTGGTGCATTGAATCCCTTGTTTCTCCCTCCACCTGCAGACCTACCCCTTTTAGCTCTTGCAGTAGGGGCTGGTGCTGATGCGGCAGGAGCTGTGCTGGTGCTGATGCAGTTGGGCCTAGTGTTGGAGCAGATGAGCAGGTGAATCTGCATAAAACTGCCATGTTTTCTTGCACAAAAGGTCCAACTTCACAATCATTAGATTTATTAAACCATGTAAAAGGAAACATTGCTCTCATGCTTGGTAATTACCTGATGTTTGTTTTTCCTCATTTGAAGCTTAGGCCTAAGAGTCGTATTGCAACTTGTATACTTGTGTCCTTCCAACCCACAATTTCCATAGGTAATTGTCCCCATCCTACTGGTGTCTCTTGGGCCAGAAACTTCAAACTTCCCTTTCCTCCTTGTTGTCTGTTTTCTGCCTGCCTTTTCTTTGAACACAGGAGGTTCAATGTCTGGAGTGTTTGTATGAGGCAATAAATCTGGACCAGAAACATGGTATATAATTTATGTGTATGTCTCTAAGTATAGTGGCTTCTTGAAAAACTCATTGACATAGTCCTCGGGGTGCAGCTTTTGCTTTGTCATTACAGATATGCCATGACTGCAAGGTACACCAGTCATGTTCCATATCTTGCAGTCACATGTATACCTTTCCATGTCCACACAATACTGTTTTTCTTTGCTAGTAACTTGCCAAATTGTTGGACCAGCTCTGTCAGCTTCGCAATATTGGCATACTTCTTGTTCTCTTCTAAAATATCTGAGTAGTTAGGTGTGATTGTCCACCTGCTAATCTATAACTTCTCCCTAGTTTGTTGCCTCTTGATCATTTGCTTGGTCCTAATCCCTTCAAACATTGTCTTTATTGGTTTGGCCCTAACTTCTACCCCACCCCCTTTCCTGTCTGTATCGACCGGCAACAGTTGGGTCTCCCCATCTCTCCTCAACTTCCTCGGTCTTCGGCCCGAGCTGTATGAGGCTATCATCTTGTTGAAGACTTCACTAAGATTGTTCACAACTAAATATGTTTTGCATGTATGATCCATAGCAAACCTAGCCCAAGTAGAGACCTCAATTTTTTGAGCCATTTCCAAGCTTCCTCAGACTATGCTTTCAGCTCTGCCATCCCTAGTTCATGCCCATGTTTAGTGTAGGAGTAGCTAGCCTTGTCAATACACTTCTTTAGTTCCTGCCTCTAAACCCAGCAGATTGAAAATTTGCATATATGTGCCTAAGACAATACCTTTGAGGTGAATCAGGGAATACCTCATTTATTGCCTTACGCAAGCCCTGTACATTCACAAATTATTACTACACTTGATCAGAATGAAATAATTCAAAAAAGTACTAAAACTAAAATGCTCAATGAAATTGTTCCCAACCTTTTGCCTGTCAGATATGATAGTGTATGTTCCAAATTTGTTGCCACTGCCAATGCAACATCTCAATTGAGTTAAAAACCAATTTTAACTGTCAGCATCTTCCTTGTCAACCACACCAAAAGCTATGGGATAAATGTTTTTGTTGTCATCCCCTCATGTGGCTGCAAGAATTTGTTGTCAAGTGGTTAACTTAATGAAGCATCCATCAAGACCTATAAATGGTCTGCAACCATTAAGGAAACCTTCCTTTGAAGTTTCTAAACAGTAGAACATATACTTGAATCTAGGAGTAGGTGTTGGATTATCTGGATCTTCAAATGTTGTTACTATACACCTGCTACCTGGGTTTGTGTCAAGAACTGCTTGAAGATAATCCCTGAGCCTCAAGTACTGCTACTTGTGGTCACCTTGAACTACATCAACCTTCCTCCTTGCTCTATATTCCACACTTCTTGACACATCCACTAAAAACTTAGTCTTGGTCTTTTTAATTAACGCATCCACAAGAGATCTAATGTCTTCTCTCAATGTTGCCTCTACTAACCTTGACAACCACTTAGTAGTAACCTTTGTGGACTATGGACATGCTCTACAAGTGTGCAACATATCACACTTCTTGATGCAAAAGGTTTTTTCATGAGCTAACTTAGAGGCACATATATAAAGATCACAACCCTGGGCTCTCTTCAAGCACCAAACAATAATCCTATCTGGGGCATTTATGTGATAATGATAATTTGTCAAAGTCCTAATGTGAAAATCCTAAGTGCATCTCTGAACTCATACATAGTGGTGAAGCACAAACCCCTATAAAATTGCTCTACTGGTCTTGGAAGTTGTGATCATAACATATAATGTTTTTCAACTTCTTATTCCTTCTCTTCCTACCACTTGGTAGTTTATAGGATCCTTCGGGCTCATCTTCTTCATCACTGATGCCATAATCACCAGGGAAACATTTTTCATCTGCTTCAAGGAACCAATCCGGTTTCTTCTTTTTCTCAACCTCATGGTGGAATCTACTGGTTGGACCAGGTTTTCTCACTACCTTGGGTTTCTATACCACTATTGTTTCTTGTTTTGTAGCTTCATCTTCAGAGGAATACTCTAATTGACCATCCACATCGTTCCCATCTGAATCTGATTGCGCATCATCAGAAAGAAATTCAGACACATCAGTGTCACCTTCAAAATGGTTAAGGTCAGCTTCTGTCTGCACCATGCTTTTCTTGAGCTCATCCTTTTTTTCCATGCTTATATCCACCACCTTAGTGCAACTTTGTTGAGTGTTAATGCATGTTCAGCAAAATAACGATCTATATTTTCATCTGGATTACATGCCTCATGAGCTCCCACTGCTCTTATGTTTAGAATTTTTTCATTATGAGAGTGGATCAACATCTGTTGCACATCATCTTCACAGCATATTTGATCTAAACCTTCAACAAATACATAGTACATATAATCATCAACCACAAAGCCCTCACTCCCAATAAGAGAAAGCGTTGTCAAATATGATATGTCTGGCTGGTACAGATTTCGAACCACGGAATCTCTGGCATTGAAATGGAACCAAATTGCCCACTTTGGGTCATCAATTCTGAAAAATTATTGAATGAATTACCTATATTTACTGAAATCTGGATAACTGAATCTAAGTATGCACAATATTGAGTTTCTGATAGATTGTTCTTTTCAGTTTCTTACCCAACAAAGTGTAAGTTTTTAACAATTTTCAAGGGCATCAACGTTATCATACATGATAGAAAGTTGAATCTAACTATGCAAAAAACTAGCCTAAATTTCCTCCAAATTGAAAATAATTGAAATCTCTGATAAACTTCCAAACAAACAGATGAGATGTCGTACCTGCCGCCGCCCGCGGAACGAGGAAGCTTCTGACGGCCTTGAGGTGTGCTTCTTGTCGTCGTCGGTGGTCGCGTCGGTGCCGACCAACCCAACTTCTGCGAAGGGTGAGATTCGGACTGAGAAAATTGTTGCGCTGCGAAGTCGCAAACCCCGCTGCCGACCACGTCTGGAGGTATGCCGCCAAATGAATCGCCGCCGGAGTTTGCATCCACAGCCGCCATGACTGCCGATGGCTAGGGGTAGGGAGGAGCTCGAGGGATAGTGAGAGAGAGTGGGGAACGGAGCGAGCCGGCCAGCCAGGTTTGACCTGGTGCGACCCGGTCCGACCGAGCGGCTGCACTAACGGCCGCCCAAGTTCGCGCCGTTAGCCGTTAGGCCGACCGACAGCCTGGCAGGTGGGCCACTCGTGTCAGAAGCGCGGTCAAAACGATTCAAACGGCCATCAGTTCTACTTGGTAGTTTTTAGTTACAAAAATAGAAAATTTTGATAGTATTCGGTTAGTTTTTAAAAAACTGATAGTTCTGTGGGACGGGAACCCCTAAAGTAGTAGTTTTTTGTCAATCACTCAATTGATTTCTATCATTGCAAATTGGCATACAAGATCTTTGGCTTTTCATTGGCGACTTTAACTCTATAAGATCGCTCAAAAATAGAAACTTGTCAAATTCACCATCTGTTCAATGGACTCTCCGTTAAAGGCCGTCAATTCACCGTCTGTTGAATGGACGACAGCTTTTCCAAACATTTATGTTAAGCCTTTGTCTCGTCCCATCTCAGACCATGTTCTGTGTGCCCTTTCGATTCAGACTGGAATTCTGAGAAGCAAAATTTTCAGATTTGGAAGTTTTTGGTTTGCCCTCATTAAAGCATCCGGAAGTTTTTGGCACTTGTTGTAGCTTTAATGAGTGCAAACCAAGACTGCTGAATTACCTCGAGAACATTACCTCTCGAGGTAATTCAGCAGTCTTGGTTTGCACTCATTAAAACTACAACAAGTGCCACATCTCTGCCTGCTAAGTTAAAACGCCTCAGGTATGCACTAAAAGAGTTGGAACAAATCGATCTCCAAATTAAGTTTACTCATTGAGAACTGTAATCGTGTGCTCCTCCAACTCGACAATTTGGAAGAACTAAGACAGTTAACTATACATGAAGGCAACTTCAGAAAAATTACCCAAATTACCGACAACACTAATGAAAATGACATTCTCAACGACACCTACACTGAATATGACCAAGCTTTTGTACTCGCTTTATTTGGAGAAAAAAGGAGAGAGGAGCAGAATATGATCGATTTCGAGTTGAGCTTTTTCTACGGCCACAAGGCAAAAAAAAAAAGCATCCACTGCAAATGCACCCAAAAAATGAGCGATAGAGGTGAAAGAAAAAGAGAAGACAGCGAAGCAGAGGAAACAGAAATCAAAGACAGCTAAAAGAAATTACAGACGAGCAGACCTAGCTAGACACTAAGCATGGCTAAATGTTCGATGCCGCTAAGACAACTTACACGTCGCTGACCGGAACCGGCACACCGGCCTCTCTCTTCATGTCTGTCGGTGTCGCTACGGCAGCGGCAGGAGCAGGCACCGAGTACTCTGGTGACCCTGCGACAGGCGTCCTCCACATCCCGCATGTACGTACCGTTTCTTGGAGGTTGAGGTTTCCATTTTCGACAAGCTACGCCGTGCTACTTAAGGCCGCAACCAACCAGCAATGCATGCGGTGTGCGCGGTGTGTCAGCTGAGGGAGAGGCACTCCCACGCTTCAAACTTCCTCAGTCCAAGCAGAAGCCGACACCAACCTCGCCGCCGGCGAAGGGCTGAATAATGGGTGGTTTCAGCCGAGCCAGCTGCTTCCTCTGCCTGGGCCCAAGGAAGAAGGAAGTCCCACCGCCTCCCCGGGCCGAACCGCGCCGAGCCGCTGCGGCAGGAACCTTCGCCTGGGACGAGCTCGCGGCCTTCGCCTTGGACGAGCTGGCGGCGGCGACCAGGAACTTCGGAGACGACTCCCGCGTCGTTGGTCCGGAGGCGGGTCTCTACAAAGGCTACCTCAAGAGCATCAACCAGGTGGTGACAGTCCTGGGTGGCAGACTAATCCTTTTTTCCTCAGTTCCATATGTACCGGCATGTCATACGTATTCGTTTGTAGATCGTTAGTAGGAGTATTAACCTGCAGCATGCCGCGGAGCAACTCAACAGCGAGTTTCTCGCCCATGTCCTGACGCTGAGCGCGCTGCGCCACCCGAATGTCGTCAACCTCATTGGCTTCTGCGCGGACGGCCAATACAGAATCTTGGTTCACGAGCACGTGCCATTGGGTTCTCTCGAAGATCACCTCCACCCCCGTGGTAAATTTTTGTTTGGATCATGCCAAACCCTGTAAATTCCGCTCATGATTCGATCGCTTGAGTTTGTGTTAATTAACCACCGGATCGATCTTGTGCTCCCCTCACCAGACCGGTCTCCAGCAGGCAAAGCACCGTTGGACTGGAACACAAGGATGAACATAGCTGCCCGTGTGGCCAAAGGTTTAGAGTATCTGCACCACAAAGGTGTGGTGTACCGCAAATCCATGGGTAGCTTGGACATCCTGCTCGGAGATGGCTACCACCCAAAGATGTCCCAGCATGGACTGGCAGACCTTGGACGGTTGCTTGCAGAGGATAACAAAGGCTGGTGTACTGATTTCTGGGGAAGCACTACCATTGCCCCCGAGACATACGTTACGGGGAAGGTGACCAAGGAGTCGAACGTGTACAGCTTCGGCGGACTGCCGCTGGAGATGATCACAGGGCGGAGGCCCATTGAGCCCGCCGACGAGGATCGGAACCTTATCGCATGGGTAAGTCCATTACCGTTCACATATTATTTGTAATCTACAGAGTGAATGATGTCATGTTTGCTGCTGGATCAGGCCACACGATTGATGAAGGACAGGAGCCGATTGCGAAGGATGGCAGACCCGGCGCTGCAGGGCCGGTACCCGTCCATGGATTTGGAGGAGGCCCTCACAGTTGCTTCCATGTGCGTCCACCAACAGCCGGCCATGAGATCGCCCATCGGCACCGTCGTCACAGCTCTGTCTCGCCTCGCCTATGATGTCGATCCACCCGAATCATCACACCCTGCGGCACCTAGTTAACCTAGCTAGTAGAGAAATGATCATGCGCCCGACATCTCCAGATGCATCGGTCATCATCAAGTTATAGTAGTTCCTTGCTTGCTGTGATATGTGACTGTTGCTTGGTGTGGAATAAGAATAACAAGTGCCTGGCCTGTATTAATATGCATTCAGAGGTTGTCTTGGTTCTAGAGGTGGAAAGGTGTGTGGGCGGCATAAGCAAGATCGGCAAGTTTCAGCTGAACTGATCCATCCCGGTATCTTCCATACATTCCAAGAGGCAGACTAATTAAGAGAGAAGGAAACAAGTTAAATTGGAGTCTGAAGTTGCTTGCATATTCTTGTCCTTCAGCTGGCAGTGGAGCTCCCTCAAGATAGCTTTATTCTTCTTTGTGCTTGCAACAGCAAGTCTAGAGGATAAAACCGCACCCATCAGGATATTACAATCATGAAACAACATTGTCAGTGACCCATGATCAAACATACTGCACTTGTTATTTCAAAAAAATAAAAATATACAGCACTTGTTATTTAAAAAAAACATACAGCACTTGCAGTGGGCATGCATGCACCCATGGCTGAGGCATGGTGGCAGATAGGATCACTTCTAGTCATCGGACAGGACAAACATGTGGTTATCAGGAGGCCCTTCAAAAGAATCTGCATACTGGACATCAAGCATACTGCTATTGTTATGTAACACATAACTGTAGGAGCGTTTTAACATCTGTTCATTCAAGTTCAGAGGTAGCAAAACGGATGACTGAATATGAAATTTGACGCTGCCAAGGGATATTTTAAGCTGATAAGAATCGGAGCGATTTACCTAAAAACCATCAGGAAATATGACACCGAACTGGGAATCATTTGGTGAGTCACATTCGAGGACAGGCTCAGATGCAAGGAAAAACAGGTCTACTATGCTGCAAGCCTGCAACTCGTCAATGCACAGAACACAAGACGAGCATATTAGCATGATGTTTGTTCTGGTTCAGAGGCGACAGACTAAATTATTGAATTACGAAATTTTGCGTTCGAAGACAGCCACATAAGGAAAAAATATGGATTGAAAAGCACATGTATCAGCACACATATCCAATTTTTCACTTGCTGATGACAAAAGGATGTTACCATCAAGATCACGCCACCACGGCAAGAACAAGGTAACTTTTTACTACAGCACCAGAGCATTTCCACCGCTCGACACAAACTGACGACCTAGCACATCTATCCACCCGCAGGCACGACTCAAACTAGGCCGTCTCGCAACAGATGCGGCGGGCAAGATAGGCAAATCTGGCAAGCAACAAGGTACATTTAGAACAGAGAAAAAACCTTGAAGCATAGAACTGCACTACTACATACAGCGCCATTTCGTTTTGCAACTACAATACTGAAATGAGAGATAAATAAAGTCATGCTCACGCAGAAGTTTCAATGCTAATTCTGTACCTTGAATTGAATTCCTAAGAGTTTCCTTGTCTGTCTTTCCTGGACCTGGGTACATGTAAATAAACGATAAAATAGACGCCAAAACAAAAATTATATGCAGATGGATCTTAAGAAAAGTGGAGCAAAAACATGTCCGACCGTTCAGAGAAGGAATTTCTATTGCAAAAATATGCAGCGTCTCACCTCCTCAGCTAGGATTTCATGGTTCTTCAGTTCATTAAACCAGAAATCTGGCATCTTTTTTCCTCTGCAGCGAAGCATTATGAACAAGTCAAAGACTGTTCTACATTCCTTTTTCATCAAATGACCTCTTTCCAACATAAAGTTACTCAACAGATCTATATTTCTTTCTGATCTAGCAGTTTCACCTGTGCCATCTTTAGTTACACTTTCTACCTCAATCACACTGCAGAATTTGCAGGTGAGGAAATCCATCGATCATAGAACAAACAAATATGAACCTGCAAAATAGAAACATCTTTTGTCTATCTGCATCATATTTAGTGGTGTAGTTGTGATCATGGTACATCTGAGAGTAAGAGTCATTTTCCAGCAGTTGCAAGAGTCGAAATTAAAAATTGGAAACAGGAAAAACAGAGACACAAATTAGAACAGATGGATACACAGAACTGAAGGACGAGCCAAGGTTATTCGTTCAGATTCAGATGCAACCAAAAAAAGATTACTAGTGATTGCGAATTTACGGCATGGTAGCTATAACTGACAGTAAATTTCACAAGTTGGGTTAATCAAATGTACCAGTTGAGGAACCACATTCAACAACAAGCTCATAAACAATGAAAAACAAGCATCAGAAGGCACAGGTCTTAGAACAGATAACAAACATTTTCATTTCAGTTACTGATGACAGCAAGGAGGTGACATCAGATCAGGAACACTACATCCACCATGGCACGAACAGACACTACAAACACGCACAATTTCACCGCTGAACACATCTGGCTAAGACGACGACTAACAGACGACGACGCACAGAGCTTAGGCCCTCTCTCCACGGATGCGGCGGGCGAGCTGGATGTCCTTGGGCATGATGGTGACGCGCTTGGCGTGGATGGCGCAGAGGTTGGTGTCCTCGAAGAGCCCCACGAGGTAGGACTCGGCGGCCTCCTGCAGGGCGGAGACGGCGGAGGACTGGAAGCGGAGGTCGGTCTTGAAGTCCTGGGCGATCTCCCTCACCAGGCGCTGGAAGGGTAGCTTGCGGATGAGCAGCTCGGTGCTCTTCTGGTACTTGCGGATCTCCCGGAGCGCGACGGTGCCGGGGCGGAAGCGGTGGGGCTTCTTGACGCCGCCGGTGGCCGGGGCGGACTTGCGGGCCGCCTTGGTGGCCAGCTGCTTCCTCGGCGCCTTGCCGCCGGTGGACTTCCTCGCCGTCTGCTTGGTGCGGGCCATGGAGTCGGAGATGCGCCGGGAGGTTGTTGAGGAGGGGGGAGCGCTGGGAGGGTTGGGGGATTTGGGGTGAGGAGGAAGAAGGGGAATGGGCGGCGTTAAATAGGGAAGGAGGGGAGCGCCGAGCGGGCGGGGGATTGGAGCGGGGAGCCGCGCGTTGGTTTTGGTTTTTCGGGAGGGATGGTGGGGCGTGGACCGTTGGATGCGTCGTGCGTGAACGGCTGCGATCTGGTTTCGAGGGGGCGATCCGTGGGGGGTGGGATCGCGCGCTCTGATTGGTTGAAGAGGAGTCCGAGGGGGTGATCCGCGGCGAGGTGGCTCGCGTGCCCTGATTGGTCGAAGAGGAGTCATCCGGATCGTGCCCCGCGCCACTGATTTTGCGTGCACACTGAAGGCCGGAGACGAAACGAAATGGCCTGGGAGAAGGGCGCGATCGTGTTCGCTCTTTGCCGCCAACACGCCCAAATAAAAAAAAACTTTTTTTGCGGGGTGCCCAAATAAAAAACCTACTGATAACTAGAAACAGTTTCCCGGCAAAAAAAAATATAGAAATATTACAGTACAAACAAATTGTTTTGGCATTCGAATTTGAACGATTTGTGGGCGAGTGTTCCTCGAATCAAAAGAGAAAGAAGGAATAAATTGTGCGTCTTTCTTCTCGTTCAGAATATATTATCATCCCATTTTAATTGTGCTACGCATTGCTTCTACGTATTGCAGCACCGTTTGCAAACTAGCATCACACGACACGAGGAATTAGCTGAATGCAAAAACTATATTCAGTTATGTTCAAAAAAGAAACTAGAATCAGTTGATACACCGAGGCCATGCCACTGTCGCTTCAGCTATGAGTCACTCACTTGACTCCTCTCCTCGGTCCTGAATGAAGAAACAAATGTGCCAAAGATATCACAACCCCGAACTGTAGATGATACTACCGTGGCGCTGGCCGGTCACAAAAAAGTTACCAATCCATCTTCAGATGCTGCCAAGTCTGAACCTACGGCCACAATCTTTTGTGCACAAAACGGCATGCAAGTTTTCTTCAGTAAACAGCGAGAAAATAAACGCAAAGAAGCATCGCTCTAGAACCTCGTCTTGCTTATCCAACAAGCAATGCAAAACGACTTACGTTTGGCAATTTCAGAGTAGCGCGCAGAACTGACTGATATACTATTGGGGTACCGAACCAAGAACAGGACAGGGCAAGGCAAACGTTAACGATAATCACACAAGTGCGATTATCATCAGAAGAAATCACCAGCAACAGAAATGCATCATTATTTCTTAATCACATATCATCAGTTTGCACAAGTTGCAGCACCATGCAGCAATTTCCACTCCAATCCATGAAGAGTACTGCTACTTGCAGATAACCAGAGTTCAACAAAGATACACATATCATCAGTTTGCCAAACATAGATGCGTTCAGTTTCAGAAGAATCTGAAAGCGATATCTCATCTGAAAACTTAACTTGTGTTGCTACAAACACATGGCGGAGATTAGTACAGGCACTTGCTACTGGTACAAATCAGGTCGGACTGATCGTAATTACTAGCAGCGGAAATGCAACACTCTAAATCCCATCCCAGTTTGCAAAACAAGATTCGGCAAGCAATCAGCCCTTCCGAACCAGTAATGGCACTACTTGTGCAAATAAAATGAAAAGGCTCGGTTTATAAGAGTAGAAATGACAGCATTAGTAAGATCATGTAGTACCACAACTGCGACATTTTCTAGATAGATTTCATCAGTTTGCAAAAGCAACACGTTCAGTTCTTACATCCAACCAGCCAACAAAGCGTTGGCAATCATCACCCAGCACGCGCACTACAGCTACCACTACTTGCAGATGGAGATAAGCAGAGTCAACAGCGACTACAGATACAGCAGACGGCCACATCTGTCACAACAAGCGGCGCGTCGTCAGTCTAGGAGGAGGTGAACTTGGTGACGGCCTTGGTGCCCTCGGAGACGGCGTGCTTGGCGAGCTCCCCGGGGAGGACGAGGCGGACGGAGGTCTGGATCTCCCGGGACGTGATGGTGGGCTTCTTGTTGTAGCGGGCGAGCTTGGCCGACTCCCCGGCGAGCTTCTCGAAGATGTCGTTGATGAAGGAGTTCATGATGGACATGGCCTTGGAGGAGATGCCGATGTCGGGGTGCACCTGCTTCAGCACTTTGAAGATGTAGATCTTGTACGTCTCCACGCCCTTCTTCGCCTTGCTGCCCTTCTTGCGGCCCCGGGTCTTGCCCTCACCGCCGGCCTCCTTGGACGCCGTCTTGCCCGCCGGCAGCCGCTTCTCGGCCTTGGGCTTCTTGCCCGCGGGGGTCTTCTCGGCCGCCTTCTCCACCTTGCTCTCGGCCGCCGGCTTCTTGTCTGCCTTGGGGGCCATGGCTGCCGCTTCGGGTGGGGTTGGGAGCTTCGGTGGTGGGGGGCGTGAGTTTGCTGGAGAGAGGCAGGGGAGATGGGGGCTGAGATGGTGTGGGGAATTGAGGAGGGTGGGTGCTGGGATTTATAGAGGGGGGGAGGTGGGCGCTGATTGGTGGAGGGGTTGGCGCCCCGGATCGCTGACGTGGACCGATAGGATGCGCGTTCTGTTTGCCTCGCCGGACAGATCTTGACCGTATATTTCGTATCGATCGTCCCGCTCTCGAACCGCAAAGCACATCCAAGGCATCGTAGAACAAGGCGGCATGTGATGCAAATGTATTTGCTTTTATTTTTTGCGAGTATATTTGCTTTGTTGTACTATTTCCTACCCCAAACCTGTATATGTACAAGCATTGTTTTCTCTTTTTTTTTGCGAGATAAGCATTTTTCTCTTCTTTTTTTCTAGAAA